ATACACTCAAGCGTGCATCACATTAATTTAGTAAAATAGTTATGTTGTTTAGCTCGTACAGTTTAAAGAGCTGCTCTACTACATTGCCGGAATAACATCACTGTTCGTAATGCAAATTAAAATCTAGATTTCACAGGCCTTGCGGTAAACAATAGTCTCTTATCTAATTCTATCCGGGACGCCATTGTGGTCCTTGTAATGCATTGTCACAAACGGTGACGTTTTTCCAATTTATAAACGATATAATCATAAACAATAACTGGTCTCCTAGTTATATAACCAAATAGTAAAGCACAAATCATGAAAATAACCCTAAAATAATAGAAACAAATTGTTGTCTACACTAGCGATCAGTGTGGACGTACATGAACAAGACTCAAAAAACAAGCTTCAAAATTTACAATGGGATGAGGAGTCTACTTGCGTTGCTTAGTCTATGCTAGTAGCTAGTAGAATTACAGGACGACGCCACCCGTCTCAGTCTAGAAAATCAGTTGAGTCTAGGAGATGACAAACCAGAGACATTAAATTTCCATACAAGTATTTGATATATTTTGCCATTTGTTTATCAATCATACAACAATAGGAAAGTCCATTCCAAAAAATGTGGATAAAATTATTAATTAATTGTGCAAAGCAGGTTTTGTATTCATGGTCATTGTTTAGTGTGTTTGATGTTCTCAAATACACTGTATGTATGAAGGTCAACAAGAGAAGTAAGAGGGTTGGTTAGGTGTAGATGGGCTATCAGTGAGATCGACGTCTTCCAGAGCTTGATTTATGTCCAGAGTGATTCCAGGAAAATTCTACAATCTGTCTTGTCAGCTGTGAAATACCGCGTTTCTTGTACTCGACAAAAAGATGTAAAATGCTGTGGCATCAGAGTGGGTTCTACCATAAATGGTTTTATTGCTACAAACGTTTTTCATGGATATGAATATTTATATTGGCAATGTATTTTAGGACTTCATTATTTTGAATTTTTGTGCAATAGTTTCTGCAACAACACAAACTCAACAATCTTTATGTATTTATTTATAATCCTTATGAATTGTACAGATTTGTGTACAGAATTGTATAGATTGCATATATTGTATTGCATATATTTTGGATGTATTTAATATTCATTTCTCATATCCCCACCATTTATTATTTGATAAGTGGATATCATCGTAGAATTTGTCGTCATAGCAAATCCTAAATGTATCACATAAAGGTTAACCTTGGATCTTATGGTAAGACTTGGGACCGATTTAATTTTTCGTTTTTATATCCACTGTGTCCTAAAACATCAGTTCATACTCATATTATATACTTAGTGTGAAAATTATCCGTTTTTGATTAAACTTCGTACAGACGAGTATACCTATGTTTATTCGAACGGGTTTGCAAACCAGCATTATAGGACTATGGGAACGGCGTAATGGAGTGTAATGGTCACCTAATGTCCCCGTTGGTAGCGCTAGTATAGAGGGTGGAAGAAAGTAAAACATGGCCCGTTACATATGTTACACCGTCACCATGCAACTGGCATGTGCCATGTGTACATGTGCATGTGTCAGTTGTAGCGATTTCTCTAGTTTTGCCCCACAGCTGATGCTAATAGTGTAGTGGCCTATGGCACAATACTATGGGACAGCACTGAAGCACAGAGAATTTTTATATTACAAAAACGGGTAGTAAGATCCGTTTGTAAAATGAGAGGTCGATACTCCTGCAGAGATATCTTCAAGGAACTTGGCATTTGAACCATAGATAACCAATATACAGGGTGAGTTTTTTAAAGTGATCCAATAGCTAACTTTTTAATTACAGGACTTAGCACCTCACTTTAAATTTGAAACTTGCTCAGTTTTAAGTTTCACTCAAGAATACGATTTCAGATTTTTTCATTGTGGCCACCATTTTCCAATATGGCTGCCAACTTTAAAATTTCTTATGGAACACCCTATATTTTATTTTGTTTTTAGATTTTACTCTAAAAAATAAAACATTTTTGTTCTTGACATTTTTTCAATATCTCTAATAGTTAAGGAGCTACGAGGACAAATTGTTAAGTATTAACAGTAACAACACTTAAAACTAACATTGTTTTAAAACATGCTTTAGAATTCATGCAACTTTGTATGAAAACTTTAAGTCCTCGTAGCTCCTTAACCGTTAGAGATATTGAAAAAATCTCAAGAACAAAAATGTTTTATTTTTTAGAGTAAAATCTAAAAACAAAATAATATACAGGGTGTTCCATAAGACATTTTAAAGTTGGCAGCCATATTGGAAAATGGCGGCCACAATGAAAAAATCTGAAATCGTATTCTTGAGTGAAACTTAAAATTGAGCAAGTTTCAAATTTAAAGTGTGGTGCTAAGTCGTGTAATTAAAAAGTTAGCTATTGGATCACTTTAAAAAACTCACCCTGTATAGTCTATGTTAGATAGTCTATGTATGTAGATAGTCTATGTTTGAACTATACCAGCAGTTTAAATTCTAGAATGTGCCGTCACTGCTAAAGCCAAACCAGAATATTTCACCAACAACAATAGTATACATAACTACAATCAAAGACGAGGAAACAATTTACATGAACAACTTTTTCACATCATACTTAGTCATTGACATTTTACTAGAAACAAGGATCACCTTCTCCGTCACAGAAAACTTAAGCACTAATTAAACTTAATTAATTTTGAAAAGGAATTAAATCTGACATTTTAAGCTAATGTTTCAGTGAACATTATTTTTCTATTTTACTAAATCAGGTAAGTAGAAATTTGTCTAGCATGCAGGTTTGATGCGGTGGGGTCATTTTTAATTTTCATAGTTTTGAATATGAAATTTACTTGCCTTAAGAGATTTTAGGCCTCGCCAATGGTTCGCCTCCATTCTCTTCAATCACTTGACTCTTATAATGAAGACGCCGGTCTGGAAATGTCTTTTAGCCTATTACTTGGTATTTCACGTAATTCTCTTCGAATGGTAATGTACTTTATGGTATTTTTTTATGGTTTTATAAGTTATTTTCAAAACCAAAAATCCTTGTTTCTAAACATGCGTTCCTCTTAAAACTTCAACAGCAGCACATGAGGAGCGTCGTTGAGGCCAATCAACAGAAAGTCTGCTCTGGACTTACGACCACTGAATAACCAAGGCTGCAGTTACGACGAAAACAATCACAATTGACGGAGAAATTATATACTCTTGTATGGTTGAGAAGTGAGTCTCAATACAAAAAAAATATATGCTCTTAGAGACTATTACTTTTGAGTCAGCTGAAATAAAATTAAGGATATATTTCTGTTCGGTAACTACTGACTGCGTTTTTATGTTTACCATAATTTCTGGTAAACCTACTTTAAACTATCCAATCAAATAATCCAATTCATTAACAAATGTTTGACCTCTGGATTAACAAAGAACGAAACGCAGAGATTCTTCGCTATAATATGAGAGAAACTGTCACGTGACGTAGTAGACCTCAGCACAGTGGTTATCGGACATGAAGCAGATAAATTAAGATTTATACATCTATATATATAATATAGGTATTCAAATATAGGTATAGTAAATTGTATAATAGCCGACTTATACCATATAAATCCAATGGTTACCAAACATAACCATAATAAGCTTATCTTAAGTATTTAAGTATTATATCGCTACTAAAGGATTACTGACACTCTCTGCTTTACTGCTTACTGCACTGTGAAACTCGTTTGTAATAAAGAGAACTATATGTGTGATGTATCATTTCCATCGATGTGTGGGAGGATGAATCAATCAATTAATTAATGGATTAATATATCGGTGGACCAATTGATGTATGTATGGATTAATGGATTGACGACTGATGAATTTATGACTGAATATTTCCATGAACTAACCAATTGATATATCCATGGATGGATGGGTGAATGGATCGATGGATCGATTGATGGATGGATGAATGCATGCATGCATTAATACTTTAACAAATTAATGGGTTAATAAGTATACACATGTATTACATGATGGTTGGATGGCTAGGTTGGATCTGTTTAAACATCCAATCATTTTGGATTAAAATCAAATTCCAGGTCAGTTTAAAATCGTCGGAAGTCCTCATAGGTTGATATTGGATTCGATTATATCAAATTTTATAATTCTAAATATAGGTTTGAACAAACCGTGGTATATTTAAACTGAATTTGTTTTATAAATTAATAATAGTAACTTCAACTTGTTAATGTAATTTCGGCCTGCTTAACACAGGTAATCTCTTTTTGCTACTTCTAGCTAGCAGAAGCTAATCAATGATAGAACTATTGTATTACAGATGTGAATGGGGATATATCAGCTTGTTGAATAATATTTTAGTATTAACAGAATAATACATTAGTGCTCATGCTAAACGGGAACTTCGTTTGTTAGGGAAAGGGAAAGCTTTGTTTAGGAAAGGGTAAAGTGTTATTGGGTAAGGAAAATAATTATTTTTGATAAGCAAGATCATATGTTTTCATACATTGAAAATCATCGATTTTAATATAGCTGTACGGATAATAGCTATTTTCGTACAAAAGAGTGATGAAAAACAAAAAACTATACGCTCACATTTATACATTTAAAAATCTGTTTAGATAGAAATCCAATATCTTTAAAATAGTCATGTTCTTGCTGTATAACCGCGTTTGCCTGCAAATATTGCATTCGACATAAGTGTGGAAATCTCGCGTCAAGATCGCTATGGCAACAAAATCAATAACATTTAATCGGCTGCCTTGACCTTCTTTGCAAATACAGTGGAGGATCATGTTGTAGTTTAGCTGATTATAACTGTCCACATCTTGAGCATTGGCAGTTTTATGTTTGCTAATCAGCAACTGTGTTGCGTTTTAGGCAAAAAGGATGATAAGGCGACTCAGTTACACACCATAGCCTCGCTCAAGGTTTTGCTAGTCTCAACATTGGACATTTTGAAACCCCAAAACCAAGCAAATGTTCAGTGATGTGTTTTCGTGTTTCAGGCAAAGTGGACGAAAAGGCGACGCAGTTACACGCCATAGCCTCGCTCAAGGTGCTGCTAGACGCCACCAAGCCTCACAACGGGGCTGCCTCAACCTCGGCAGCCAATCATGTCCAATCTACCTTAGAGACTCAGTTAGCTCAACAGTCCGAGCCCAATGGAGTTGCCCTGGGAGGCATTGAACCTTTGGTAAGTGATCAAGTCCAGTTGCATCCTCTTTTATATGGTTCATTTTATATCAAAGAAAGAGTTCACTGCTGCCTATAAGGAGTTGAGCCTCCCGAATTGACTTCCAGTCCAGCATAAAACACCCCTTCCAGTAAAACAATTCCTTGATGAAATCCTTTATATAATGTGGTCCTAACATGGAAAATCCCTAATATTTCTTGTACAGCAGTACAGCCCAATATTCTTGGCTCTCGTGCGGACGACTGCCTTGCGATCTGCCTACATGTGCTTTGAGGTATCTTCCCCTGTATTTGGCTAGGAAGCTTTTAAAATGTGTGAACTCAAAATCATTGGTTTTATGCCATGAAAGGTTTTAAATTACGTTTCCTGGGGTAATTTCAGTATTTAATAAATCAAATGTCTACTTGTAAAAATAGCAAGGAAACCGGAACTGTGAAAAAACGCAAGCCTACAATACATACCCTCTGGGCTTGCAAAAATCATGTTGCGTCTTACTCACAATAAATTCCCAATCTTGTGGAAAAATAAATCTTGTAAATAAATAAAAGTCTTGTGGTGACAATGCTTGTCAGCTGATCAGTAAACAAGTAAAGAAAACAGAGCTACCAACTTATGAATTTATTTACTCGATACACAGTGTCTCTTGGTTTTTGTTATTTGGGTTGTGTTAACGAACCTCCCTGTATTATATATAATATCTCCATTATTACATGTGTACAATAGATTTTATCTAAGTGATAATGCCGCAACCCCTAAGTCTAGCCTGAAGTAATGTGAAAACCAATCCCAGGCTCGTGCCTAGCGTCCTAGGACAAAAAAATATCTGTGTAAAAATCTGTAAAATTAGGCTGGATGGATAAATTTATCAAGTTGTTGTACACACCAAGTAATTTTCCTCCTCAGATAATATCTGTTTCATCAGCACAACAGTCAAAACTGTTGACGGGAGGAAATTAGATCCTTCAGAATTAACCTAAAGGCCATTTCTGAGGCGACGTTCCTTTTTGCTGCCCAACTCTGTGTGTAGAAGTTTAATAGTTCCTACAAAGGGTGTCTATGAAGTTTAACACGTTATGTTATATTATGTTATGTTATGTCTTCTCGATACGTTTATTTAGTTCAGGAACACATAACATGCGTATACTTTGGTATGTCGTGGCATTAATTTTAGATGTTTTTTTTTAACTTTTATACATAATAAAACAACTCACAGAATATTATTACATGTTATCTTTTCCGTTTAACCCGTTATGCTTGTTTGATTGTATTTAGTACAATCAACCTTTTTGGGGTTTAATTTTAGTTTTGACCTGAGTGGTCATGAGGACCAGTGGGAAACACTTAGGAAGAATTCATGTTGTTAGCTTCCGAATCTCTCCTAGTAAATATACATTTACTAAGAAAAAAATAATGGTTATTTAAATACACTTTAATGACTTACTTTCTGTGTCCGGAAATCAGACTTCGCCTTTTCAAAAATTAGATACCGATTGGCTTTGTCATTCACTTGTAAAAGAGCATCTATTGTGCAAGACTGGTCTAGGCGTGGACAGATCAGCAGATGGCTAGGATACTGAACAGACTGACTTAAGATCCTAATTTTAATGACTGAGATATGAAGACTGGCTAGGCTACCGGTTTTGACTCTCAAACAGGCTTTCAACAGGCCTCAAGATGACTATTTTGGTTTATTTAGAAAAGATAAACGTTTGTAGAACAATAACACACAATTTAAATCGCAAACTTTAAACAGAAATATTTGGCGAATTAATAAAAGATTTTTACTAGCGTAGACGTATACGGCATGGCGGACTGGTCTAAGCTAGTTTTTTATCATTGTTGAAGACTTCCTTTGAAAAACGAAACCGGTTGCCTAGACAGACTACAAAAACACTCCAGCGGTAAAAGTGTTCAAACCACTATTATTTTTGCTTGAGAAAAAATATATTTTTCACCACACTATGATGTTTTTAGCTGTTTTACATACGTTAATTGGTGGCTGAATGTTACGTTTTGCTGGCCATGCCAGCTGTCGTCATTATTTGGGGACCGACTAGGTTTTACATCCCTGGGGCCGCAAAATCAGCTGCCCGCTAACTTGCTGTTCGATCGTTTTTAGTTCTCGACTTCGTCTCGAACTTAAAAATTATCTCGAGCCGGCAAAACCTCATTTTTGGCCCTAGGTACGAAATATACTATTCTATTTCATTTGTGTATGCATAGTTTAAAAGGTCTTGAATACAAACTTTTCTTTTTAGTTCTTTAGTGCGTTTAAACAAGTAAGTCTCTTGAGAAACTTTAAACTTTATTCGAAAAAGTATCCCTATGGATTACTGGTGGGTCATTGTTATCAGGTACTGTACTCTATGTTGATACTGTTGAAAGAGCGTAACCAGTTTTTTTACCAAAATAAGCGTGCTCCTTAACTAACAGCAAGAATAAATAGTTGCATTTGAATTTATTCAACAATAACACAAGACTGGAGAGGGGTTCTGTTGCTTTTATGTGTCATAATTAGTCAAAACGTATTAACTATGAAAATGCGTATTTAATTTATTAGACAGTACAGAAAACAAAGTTCGTAATTTAATACACAATGAATAAGTTATTTAATCAATATACAAGAACCTAAGAAGATAGTTACAACACTGAACTGACTACCAAGGCAACTACTCAATTTCTTTAATGCATTTTTTATCAATGTTTTTTTTTAATGGAATTTCGATGAGTTTTCAAATGCTCCAAATCCTAGAATTGTTACTTCGGAATGTCAACCCTTTGAAAATAGCCATACAAAGTTTTGATAACCAAATTACGATTTACTGAATTTGAATACATATAATAACTTGAGTCCCGAGACAATTCAATGATTCCACTTTATTCTGTTGGACTGCCACTGAATATATATACCCCATTCACTCAAATTTATTTCTATCAGGGTTTAGTTATCTTAGCCAGGAATACCTGTTATATTAGGCTTCAAGATAGATTCAACCAAGTTGTATGTTCCTCGCAACTAATCTACAACTAACACCACTGCTCTAAATTAACTCTTTGTTCTTACAGCGGCGTCTGTAATTGATGGCTTAGCTCTCTTGTTCCGTTAAAGGCGCTCTGGGACACCCAACAAAATATGCATGCCTTAATAACATTAATTATCCTTAATTGCTTGTGATTGTTTTCGTAAAAGAATTTTCCCTTTTACTTCAAATGAGCTTAAATACGTGTGAGGTTTTATGATAGAGTTGGTCGGACTAGTTTTTTCGTTCCCTTACAATACGTTAGCTTGAGCAATATTTTTTCCATTTGTTTTAAAGGCTTGAATTTGACTGATTGCTTTGTCCTTTTTTATTTTTTTTTCTTTGCGTTTTTCATCCTATTCGGTATGTTATGCTGTACACAATAGTATTTCCCTCCTCTTTGGTAAGGTACCGAAGTTAAACTGTGCACGTAAGTCTCAGATTTAGGATTTAGGATAGTTTATAAGTTCTGATATTTAAATGTATTGAGGGTTTGGGGCACAACCCTCATAAACGTATCCGTTATATAACCAATATCATGTAGCAAAACGTTCACCGGAATTGTTGATATGTGCCAAAGTTTAAAACTCAAATTGTTTACACAAACTTATTCTAAATTTCGTAAAAAATACAATTAACTTTATAATTTACCATTTCAAACGTGTAATGTCTAGAATAAGTATGAATAGTAATAAATAACTCAAACATAATATAATTTTGTATTAGGTTAAAAGTTGAAATATATATTGCAATATGATGTTTCAAAATAATACAAAATTTATAATTAGTTCCCTATGTAAGGTAACCAAACACAGTAGCACCCAGGCAATTACCACCAATACGGCAGGTGTGTGTCCTAATATTGTTAAATCTAAATAACCCAATCCTAGTAATTAATAATAGTAATTAATAACTAAATAAAAACATCATTTATTGATCATACGCCGCTATTGATCTCCCATTCGTAAAATACTTAAATATAAAATTCTCAGTTAAATAGACAAACTGTTTTCGAAATATTCCACATGTTAAAGCTATCGTATAGTAAATTTTATTAAAATTTACTAGTTCATGTGGAAACAACCACAAACGTAGTTAAATATTTTTAAAAGCCGCCATTTTTAAATGGTTCAAGAGTTTTTATTCAAATTTAGAAAAAAATATTGGTTATTATGATAAACATTTTTACAGATTTACAAGGCTGGAGCTCAGGCAGTTAAGGGTTGTGAATGTTTTTGTACAAATCACATACCGACAGATAGACCGAAAACGGAATGAGATAGGACACATGTTACTTTACATTTTTATTTCTTTTAATACGCTGAATAACGTGCCAAAGTTTGTTCATATGGTTTCAAGACACCCTGTATATGTGTGTGCGTGTCCGTTAGCGCGACAACGCGAACAAAAATGATCAGATTTGGATGAAATTTTGTACAAACGTATAAACCTACGTATTTTAAGAGTTTGCGAACACCCTATATATATATATATATATATATATATATATATATATATATATATAGATCAATTTTAACGGAGGCTGTTTTTGGCATCTTGGGACCTCAAAATGAAAAATTAAATCGGTCCCGGTTCCAGGTTTTACCATGAGAACTACGGTAATAGCTTATTCCCTATATGGGAAATTCGCTAAAACTAACCACCCCAACTAAACAGTTAACACCCGCGGTGTCATGTGCAAACTAATCGATATTGTCACAATATTTTTTTCAAAGACGGCGAGTTACATCGTACATCCAGTGCAAAGTTCCATTTGCCGGAAACGGAAAGTATAAACTAACGTCGGTAAACAATACAAGCAGTGGTGCCAACAATAGAGTAATGTGCGAGCGTTGCCAACTGCGCAACGTCATAGATCGAAGCAACAAGAGGAAGAACTGCGATGATATACCGCTGTGACGACAAGCGCATAATGTGTCTACTTATAATAACGTATAATAATATATAGAAAAATATCTA